AACCTTTAGATTTTTTTCTTGGTCAGAAAACACAACTGTAAGAAGCATACAGACTTGGACTTGAGCTGCCCTCTGTGTCATACTGTGGGCTGAACGAGTTCAGTGTTTACATTCTTATTTTGATTGAGAATGGAATGCTTTCTATTGTTACAAAATTAGCACAAATAACAAGTGAAAGATCTGAACTTGAGGTTTAGTACAGCAGCTCAGGTCAGGTCTCCTCTCCCTGTTATAATACCTCACTGCCCATGAGACAAACAAAACCTCTTGCAAATTCATCCAGATTATTTAAAAATAAAAAAACTGACCTTTATAGGGGTGACTGATATGATTTAAAGACTTTTTAGTGACATACACTGTAGACCTAGGTATTTAGATCTGTATATGGCAGTTTTAGATATATAGTTCAGGTGGGTATGTATTTTTATATGTATACACAGCATATTTTAGGATGAGAGCCACACCCAAGATGTAACAACATTCCTTGTGAACAAAGTTACATTTTTTGGTTCATTAATTCCAGTGTAGTGTTTTAACTCCAGTGTTTATTTGTGATAATACACACTGGCAATTAATACAGATAATGGTCTAGGCACTGCAATGATCCTTTCCATTATTGTTTTAATCTTCTTTAGCAGTCCTGAGGCAGCTGGGATCATTATACAGCTTTCTCTTTGCACGTTTAGGAAATTAATAACACAGACAGAACGGCATGTAAAACATAAAACTATCCCCACCTTTCAAGGCTATTCCTGTGCAGCAGACACAAAGCATGTGCACTTGGCTCAGGGTAACAGTGAAATGAGCTTTGAACTTGAAGTCAGATGGGCAGAAATGTCAGAAGCTAAAAATTAAACGCATTTTTGCATTTCTCATGAAACCCATGACCAGCGCTGAAAAATCACAAATGCCAATTACTGCTCGTTCACGGAGAGGAAAAAAATTCCTCAACTCAAACCACCTAGACATTACAGTCCACTACACTGTACAAACACTGGCTCATCACTGCTGCCCCTGAGGGGCTGTACATTTTTCAGACTAACTATGACACAGCACAATTCTCCAAAGATAAAAGTCTGCCCAGTCCAAGGACAGCGTTGAACTGGGCTTCTCATTTCTACAGTTCCTACAGTTCAGTGGGGAATTCAGAATAAACTCAAAGCTAAGAATACTTGAGTTGTCATTGCTATCCTTATCCATAAGCTTCCTTCCTTTTAAATGAGCATTAAGGAGCTCATGCCACACAGAGCTTCAAAAACCCACTCAGCTTAATGGAGCAGACTGCTCCTATCAAGGGGAAGACGACTGCCAAAGTGATTTGCTGCCTTGAATTAAAAAAACAATTAACACAGGGCGCCGAACTCCGAACTGTAAGGCTGTAAATTAAATCCAAGGTGAGACACCGCGACTGCTCCAGGAAAATAACCAGCTATCCAAATGTGTGCAAATGTAAGTAGTTTGGATAAAGCTTCAGACAAATTAGTATGTAGTCAAAACGAGTCAATCCGACTTTGAACGACACACGACAAAGGAAAATTAAGATGTCAGCATCTTTATAAAATATTCAAAAACATTTTGCACATTTATCAGAAGGACTTACAATATATTAAGGCCCAGAACATCCACAAATGAAACTAAAACCTTACCTTTATATTGAATAAACATAAAACCCATCCAAAGCGATAACACTACTGCAACGACGAAAGAGATTTCTCTCGTTTCGGAGACTGCAAACATCCAGTCCTATAAAGGTACACGTCAAGGCTACCTTGTAAAAGTACTGGACTTAACTCCTCACCTCACACACAGGAGCAGGTAAATCATTGAGCCCTTGTATAGAAATCAGACTTTGCGTTGCGAAACTTTCTTAACATTTTTTTTAATGCGTTTCGAAGATATGGTAAGCTATTGTCACAGTAACTCCAAACCCCCGTTTAACAGTTTGCTCTCGGTTTCTCTACAATTCATAGGACAATCTGAACAGCCATCAGCCTTAATATTGTACTGTGCCATTGTCGGAATTAACACTCGAAGCATCGAAGATAAAATGGATATCTACACTGTAGACCGATCTTGTAAGTTGGCGTTACCTGTTTTTTTTTTGTGCTACAGTGTTGTTCGAGCACTGCAATAGCTCTGGATCAAAGCCTCTCCATCGGCAACACAGTATATCGCTCCTACTTTCAAACTGTCTCCATTGTAATTATATCATCCGCCTTTTCCCTTCGCACGGAACTGGCGAGACTCTGAAGGCAGCCGGTGACAACAACGCATGCTCCGGGCCGACGCGATTCCGAGACGCCTTTACGCAATCCGGGGCCCCGGAGCTTCGCGCTCTAGGCCGCCTGCCGATTCCGCGGGCGCCGTTCGCGTTGCGTACGCAACCAGCGTCCCGTCCCGACCCAGACTCCAGCATCCCGCCGACCGCCGCGCTCCGCCGTACGCAGAATACCGACACTCACACGCACAGCCCAAGAATGAGGCGCGTTCCGGGACGAGCCCCAGTCAGGAAAGGCAAAGGCTATGTTACACTGCCATCTGGTGGAGAGACTGAGGAAACTGCAAGTAAGAAGTAGGAGCTCCGAAATACTTTGACTTCTTTTGCCTGTTGCGCTTGTATACATCAAGGAACATAAAACGGTATCTGTTCATGCATTGCACACATTAAATATCATGATTAAGAATTCATAACCGTTTTCAAACAAAAGGCTTCAACCCCAACGCGGCTGTTGCACAATAAGGCTAATTCATGAAATGTCTACAAAAATTAAACGAGTTGGCAATGGCAATAGGAAACGGCACAGAGCGCGATATTTGGATGGGGCGTTTTTCACTTTCCGGCCAGATGAGCATTGGAAACACAGCTGGTGTTCCAATGGGGACGACGCTTTTTTTTTTCAAAGGAAATTCACACAAAATACATTATAAAAATAAAACCTGGCGCACTGTATGTGTTGTTTTAATAATTATATCTACAAACACGCAGGAGTTGCATCCATTTCAGCACTCAATGGCATAGTGGTTTTCAAACGTTTTCATCTCGAGGGTCCGTGGGCGACGTTTTCCTATTTTCTCATGCAGAACTGGTCTTTAGAAACTTGAGAGACCATCGGTCCGTATTAGCAGTTGCTTACGTCTGCGCCTTATCATTGGGAACACAAGGTGGCGTTCAACCGCCTTTCTAAACGGGAAGATGGTTTGTAATCACCTGTGCCTGCTGTCTCCTTCAGTACATCCGCACACCAGGGGTCTCCGCGTTCCTTGTTCAGAATATTTTTACAGCATCATTAAAAAACAAAATGCATTAGACGAACTTCCTACTAATCGAAGATGTTATATCCGTTCGCTCTTGGAAGTTGTTAATTCTTAAATTTGGGTAAGTAATGCGGTGCGTTTTGCATTCTCCCCTAGTTTACATACGCTTCTGTTTGGTCAGTGAAAAAATGAACCCAGAACGCGGTAATAAAAGATATTTTGCACGCAAATACAAATCTGAATATTCAGAACAAGAGGCGGTCAGGCCTCACTACTACTGCTTCCCAGAATTGAGAACGATATAGGGAAGTTTTGTTTTTTCCAGATAGGTTTGGTGCCAGCGGGCGCACAGCAGCAACGCCAGGCGAATCTGCTGATCACCCGATCACCAAGATCGATAGGCGCACGCTCAGCGAATTACACGAACTCACCCCGCCGGCCGCCAGCGCAGCGCCCCTTCCACTCATCGCCCGGGAAAAAGGCCAGCCATCTCGGAGCTAGGCCAGCTCACGAAAGCGCCACTTTCAAAAATAATAGGTGGAAAACGCAACCCCATCAGAGAAGGAAGTCACCCAAATCACTGGGTGAAACCACCATCCCCGCATCCAGCAGCGTTCTTGGCAAATTCTGGTTTTGATCTCGACCCGACTCCGTCAACTCAATGATCACTCGCTGTTATCGAATATTATGCAAGTCGTTCTTCTTCTCTTTTTTTTTTTTAAAGAAAAGGCGCACGGATTTGCACTTCAGTCTTTGAAAGCGGTCCCGGCTGTGCTGCTGGATTGCGAGGGAGCGGGACAGGAGAAAGGCGTGTTGAGTCATGATGGGGATGATGTGGACCGATGGCGGTACCGGGCAGTGGCTGGCAGCCCTCAGCTCCGTAACCGAGATTCTCCATTGTCTATCCATCCGATGACAAAGTCACAATCTGGAGAAAACAAGTGACCAAGCGTGACAAGGCTTTCAATAAAGGCGTTATTTTCCCCCCTCTCCTGCTAAGAACGAGACGTTACATATTATTCGCTTGTGCCAACGGCAGCGGCTCGGATTTTCACGGTTTGTGCCGCTTTCAAAGGATGTATGTCGAAAATGTTCATGCAACACGTTCACCGGTACGCCAATATTTACCGCTATTAAAAGTGAAAATGAACAAATTAAAATTCGAAACGCTTACTCAACCCGAGTGGACAGAAAAATGCGAGTAGAGACCTTCTACAATATATGTACAATGTTACTTTCCTGCGATATTGAATATTATAATGTAATTCACATGCTTAAGAATGGACCTCCAATGTAACTTTTTAGCCTCGCCTTCTTATTCAGAACGTTAAAAACAATGTTAAATGCAACAGTGGCTACAATCTATTTCAGCCTATATGCTTGCTCATAGCGGATCCTGGAGTCTTCAGCTGCCCGATAGACCTGTGTCAGTTTTACCTACCTCAGTTACAGATTTGATTCTACATTTCAAGCACAATCACATAGCACAGCATCTTTAGGCACAGATCAACACAAGCACACATGCAATCCCTCTGCACCGGTGTTTTTTTTTTTCTTATAGTAGTGTACGAAGACTGGGATTGGAAAATTAACTTAAAAGAGTCGGGGTCTTGCAGTTCTTTCGCCCATCCAAATGAACTGGAAAATCAGAAGGCGCTGAACACTAATCAGTCTGGAGGCGATTATAAGCGTTGCAAACAAAAAGCAGACTAAAGCTAGGAATGAAACTCCCAACACCAACAGAATCATCTCAAACTGCTTTTTATTACATCTTAAATAACAGTACATTTTAATATAGGATCTATCTTGCATCCAGCTTTCTGTAGTACACTGACTGACTTTAAAATTAAATACAAAAGGTGAAAAGGTAACAGTGGGGTGCAGAGAGCTCTACAGTTATTTTATGGAAAGAGAAAAAGAGAGGGATTTTATTTTTATTATTTTTTATTTTTTTGCCAAGTCCAGGCCTAACGCACAATTACAGCACATTTTTTGTACAGAATGTCGCAGAGAAAAACAGAATGGAAAAATGCCACTACTGCTAAAGAAAAAGCGCTTCTGTATACAGTAAGAAGGGAATAACAGAAAATTCTGCCATCCAAATGCTGCAAGTTTCTTTTTTTCCTTTTTTTAAATTTTTTATTAAAGAAAGCCAGAAAAAAACCTGTTCATTACAAAATGATTCTAGCATTTTTCAGTACTGGAAAGAGTTTACTACAGAAGGAATTGGAAACTTTCTTCCCCCCTCCCCCCATGTGTTCATGTGATCTGTTGGAAAACAGAATGGACATTCACTTCCTTCCTTTCAGAATCATTCCAAAAACTGCAATTTCAGAACAGGCTCAAGTGTGGTTTTATATTTCGTAATTAATGTCTTAAGATGGTGCTTCTCTTTCAGGTGCATAGCTTTCCATATTAATTTAATGATGTATGCACAGAGTAGCAAAACAATATGAATACAGCGGCAGTGATTACAGTTTTAACAGGTTATTTTCTTAAAGAAAAACATCAAAGGATTTAGTTCCATATGCACTTTTTAAGCAATTCTACAGCATGCGATTCTAAGAGTTAACCCACCCATGGCAGACAACCAAAAGAATTTTTTTTTATTTTTAACTTAGAAAGTTCAATATCATTATTTTCAAACATTGATTTATACAACATTTCATTCACAGAGTATTAACTGCATTTCCAAGCACGGAACGGGCACCTCTGTTTAAACAGGACACTCCGGAGCAAACCGGGGTAAAAATTCAGTCCCCCCCAGCCCTCCTCTATCCCTCCCACCCCCACCCAAAACAATTTCAACAAAAGAAAAAAAAACAAATTGAGGGGTTAATCTTCATTTAATTATTCTACATTACCCAACGACAAAAAAAAGGTGAAGAAAAAATTGTTAAAATTTGCAATTTGTTTTAAAAACGAGCATTCATTATCATAAACAGCATGTGCTTGGTTAGTTTACGTTTTGAACATTATTCTATATACGCAAAGTTTCTTTTTGTGCAAACAAAGATCTGTGACACAAGACAGAAAAAAGGAGAAAAAATAAAATTAAAAAAAAATCCGGGACTAAATATACAGAATTGACATCCCCGAAAGCTGGTCTTGGACTCCCTGGTGAAGCGTTTTGTTTTTCATAGTGATAAGCGGACTAAAAAAAATGACAAGTGATTCTCCTTACTTTCATTTTAAACTCAGCTACAAACATGATTCTAAAATCTTAAAGACTGAGATAAAAGAAAGCTTTCAATTCTCTTTTTAAACATAAACCAACAAGTTCACTGATCTAAAACTCGGAAAAAAACTAGCAAAAGTTAGATAATTTTTTATGACTACGCTCAAACATCTGTTTTCAAGATACATTTTTGTATGGGATGATAGTGTTTTTTTCTCTCTCAAGACAGTAACATAAAATGGTCCCAAAAGGAATGCACAATTTTTATAATACCACAGGAAATCTTTTTTTTGTTGGGTGATAAACCATTGTGCTCTTCTTTTTAATGAGAGAAGGAAAGGTAACATTTCGCCCTTCATAGTTTTGGGGGTGTTTGAGTCAGTGTGAGTGGATTGGATATGCAATGAAATTTAATATTTTGATGTCGGAATGGTCTTCCAGTCACTTTGGAGTCCGAATGCCATCTGCAAATGAAAAAAAAGAAAAGTTGAGAATGCAATGGAAATACTTCTTTAATAAGCTTCATCCATTTGACACTGTGCTTGACAAGATCAAACCAATGAACTCCTTCAGAGTCCACAAAACGTACAGAAGACAGAAATTTTCAGGGAGAGCATATTTAAAATTTAGTACACACTTTTACGCAGGGGGGGTTGTGGGCATCTTAAACAGGTCACGTTATTGCTTCCCCACCCAAGAAAGGACAGAATGAGATCCTCATATTAGCTACTAGCAACGAAGCAAGATAGTTTGGCTAAATGACCTTTTCTCAGTTGTAGCCACTCGTTCATTTTTAGCACATTTTATTTTCCAACTGCAGTTGCTAGATGGTTTGAGGGACCTCTAGGTTGCACTCTGACCCCAAGCTTCTCTCTCCCTGTCTGTGTCTCTCATGGAGAGGAAGCTGGGGTATGTGACAAGAAATTTTATATAGCCGATAAAGTGATGTTAACTTATTTCCTGTACTGCACTGGTGTCAGATTTAAAAACTGGCCTTTCATCTTTTGCTACGTATTGTTGGAAAACACGAGGTGGGAACAAGTTTTTTTAGATTGAAAATGATTTGAAAGGACATACCATTGTTTCCAAGTGTCTGTATAAGCAGTAGTTTATAAGCACTGACTAAAATCACACTACATCCATGAAGTTTCTCTTTGGCAAAATGACCAGAAATGACTTTGTGAAGCTCCCTGATTAAGTATGAATAAATTATGATGACAAGCAATCAACAAGCAGAAAAACAACTTTCAAAGCTCAAGCATATTATCGTGCCTCTGGTTTTAATGACCTGCAGTTGGATTATAGGTATGTGCAGGGACAAAAAACAATCAGAATTACCTTCAGGCTTTAGTTCCAGATCTTGAGGAAGCTGTCCCAGGACCCTGTTGCCACTGCCATGCCATCATCAGTCACACCCAAGCAGCTAACTCGGTTATCATGACCTGCGAGCACACCTGAAAAACAGCACCACAACGCACAGCGTTACATCAGCAGCTCCCAGACAGGAATTGGGGAGCCTCGGAGACGGTCCAGGAGGATCCCCAGAGAGCCGTTTCGAAATTTTTCCGATGTGTCAATGTGTTGTGTTCCGGTCTACCAGGAATGCTCCGATGCAAAGTTTATGGGAGCGTTTGCTATGCCACAGCTTAACGAGTTCCTCAATGACATCAGGACTTGCAACGTCCAGAAAGGGATCTCCCTTCCCAAACAGTGTTGGAGCCCCTGCAGCAAACACAATGCACCCTCCCTTTCTCAGCTCCCTTTTAAAAAAAAAGGTCATAAAACACAATCTGAGTTTTGACTGCTAGTGCGATACTGAATACTGACATTTCTCATATGGACTTACTGATTAGCAGTTTATTAGATGCAGAAATTCTCTTCCTCTACTACAGCAGGCTCTCCATGCAGAATTCATAAAGCAGCACTAAGTACATCTTGATAACCAACCACATAAAATGATTAAAGGGGATCTTTTACAATAAGTACATGACCAAGACCAATTTGCAGCAAGCATTTGTAAAATGTCTTGAGCAGTAGTTTCTGGGCATATGTCAATTTCACTTCTCTCTTGCATCTACCTAAGATCACAAATGCACACGCGGTCAATATCGCTTTTAAAAATTTATGGTGCCGTAGGAAGCTTTTCTGCTGCGGCAGCTGGTGAAATGGCTGGAAATGGTTCCAGGGTGAATTTTAAGTCCTGTCTGTGACTGTTAAGGATGACGGCAGAGAGGTCTATTTGTTTAATGCAGCTCCATCAAATCCACACTGCTTTATTCCCAAGCACTGACCTGAACACAACTCCCAACACACCAAAGAAGGAATGCCTTTAACTAAACACTTAGGAGGGGAAAGCACAACCGATAGGACCTGCAGAGTCAATACTGTGAGCACATCCTGGAAATTGATCACTCTTCCTGACCACCCAAGCAGTTAGAAAATATGCTAAGAATGATTTAATCAAAACTGTGTAAAACAATTTCAAGGCAACTTACACAGTTATTCAAAACATCATGCTCACATCTGATTTAAAGTGCTAAATAAAAAATAATCTGAACAACTGAGGTAAGAGCACACCCAAGTCCCACCTTTACACCCATTTGAAGTGCTCCTTTTTTACTTAGGGCTCAACTTGAGGTCAACTCAAGGCTAGACCACAGCTAGATCCAAGAATAACAGGCGTAGCACCACAAGCTCTTAAGCCCACTAAAGGTACTGTGTAAACTCCAAAAGCTAAAGATTTTAAGCTTTTAAAAAATAAACAGGGTTTTCCAAGATCTCAGTGAAGAAAGTTCTGTTGACGCATTGTATTGTAGATGAGGCATCTAGTACTCACCAGCACGGTCAGCTTTGAGGGTGTCCCAAACATTGCAGTTGAAGTCATCATATCCAGCCAGCAGCAGGCGGCCACTCTTGGAGAAAGCTACAGAGGTGATTCCACAGATGATGTTGTCATGAGAGTAAACCATCAGTTCCTGATCAGCACGCAGGTCAAAGAGTCGGCAGGTGGCATCATCAGAGCCCGTCGCAAATGCGTTGCCATTAGGAAAGAACTGTGAAAGACAGAGAGACGGACATGATGGGACTCGGCCTCAGCGAAGACTGCCCAAAACAGAACAAGGAAACATTGTCAAAACCACAGAGAGCAAGATTACGAGTTTAACCTAGATATGATATAATCTCCCACTGCACTGTTTGCATAATTTCGGTTTTATAAGATTCTCCCTCTGATCATTTCCATTTCCAGTCACAACTCCCCAAACACTTTAGGAAACCTTCAGTGTTCTACACACCTGGATGGGTTTTAGGCTACCTTACCAACACCAGAAAAACGTCCCAGAACTTACACAGATGGCATTGATGTCCGACTCGTGCCCAGTGAAAGTTTGTCGGCACATTCCTTCTCTGATATCCCAGAGTTTGGCTGAGGCATCACAAGCACCAGAGACAAATAACCTGGCATCAGGTGCCAGAGAGAGGCTCATTACATCTCCAGTGTGGCCAGCGAATGTAGTTGTCTGCTGGCCAGTTTCAATATCCCACAGAGCGCTATAAAGAGAGCAGGAAGTGAATGCATTTAAATGCTAAGGTTACACTTTAGGACCTACTTCCTTAAAAAACAAATCACACTGAACGACAAACAAGTTACTAAGAAACCAAAGATTATTATGGTAACTTGCTGTTACATAGTTACAGACCTAGTCTTGGCACTTTATACCTTAAACTAATTCACTGCAGCAGCCTGTCCATTTAAGACTCCACTTTTACACTGACGAGTATAGCTTACCAAGCAATACTGTTCCTAAATTATACATACAGTACATGCATAAGATTCACTAAGGAGCAACTATCCAAGGTGCAGGTACAGTGCTTATGTAAGCAACTACATAAAATCTGGATTCACATAATTTTGTTAATCCACCCAGCTGTTTTACAATAATACAGCATAAACATACAGAACAGTACTGTATGTAGCTTGCACTACAGTACCAGCTGCTGAAGTGTGTTATACAAATAATTTCAGGCTCCACCGCTGTTTGAAAAATAGACTAGGAGGTTTCCACCCTAGTGTGCATAGGGGAATTTCACTGATTTGTTTCCAGGCAGTTCCCTTCACTCACCAGGTGGTGTCTCCAGAGCTGGTTACAATCTGGTTGTCATCCAGGAAGCGACAGCAAGACAAGTAACCTGGGAATAACAATGAACCGAAGGACTGTTAGCTGTAGGTTCTCCATAACTAGATATATTTGTACTAACGGGCTTTCACAACATAAAAAATGCTTAGTGGATCTAAAAAAATATTTTGCAGGAACATGGGTGCACGCACAAAAAGTGCTGACATTTATTTTCAAGTCCAAGCTGGAAATCAAACAAAATAAATGCAAACACCACCCTTCAAAAGTGCACAAAGCTTTTATAAAGAAAAAAAAAAGTCTGCATGTATATAGTCCAATTTAAATATCTATACACGATGCAGAAAGCTGTAAAGTGGCGTTAAATCATTACAATGCCAGAAGGGCAAAAGCTGACACTTCCATTTAAAAAAAATCCTTACAAAGATGCTTTAGTAAAGATATGTTCATTTTGTTTCAGAGGCAAGGAATGTCTCTGTGTCAAAAAGAGGGAAAGAGCAGTCCTGGGTCCCAGGAGCAAGGGTCACTTGGACTGTTCAACAAGGCAAATTAGCAGAAAGGTTCTGGAACCTTCCTCTTCAATTTAGTTCTGGTGCACAGTTGCAAGAAGCTCTAGGGATCTTATTAACACTAATTCAGTATCCACAATAAAAAATATTCCCACAAAAAACAGGTAAGGGATGGGTAAAGACTTCTTAGCAATACGTGGCCAAAATGCGTTTCAATAATAGCTTTGAACAGTCTTAAAATTATAAACAGCACGCCCTTTCATTGGGTCAAGGTGGAATACACATTAAAATACCACATTCTACCACCTGGTTCAAGGAAATTGTTTTAAATTTAAAATTCCAAGAGAGAAAGTCTCATTCTTCATAATTATTTCAAATGGGTAAGATACTTGCAACTTAATCTGGGTAATTCACAGTTTAAAAGGTCTGTAATTTGCTCTACAAGCACGCACTGAGGGCACAGAAGGAAGCAATGAACATCTGCATAGTATTCAGCAGCTCCACAGCAAAGTTACACTTTTGCTAAACTTGTGCCATAACATCAACAGCCCTATCATGACAAAGCCGTTTTCATGCCAAACATTAAATTTCACAGATCTATATAAAGCCATGTTTTCATTTTTAGAGAGCTTGAGAGTGTGCAATCATTGTTTTCGAGTTTGCTTGTACATTATGACAACTTCTTTCCACAATCTTAAAATTGTGCACCCAAAGCTTGTGCTTACACCTCAAAATACAAAAGGATACAGACTTTGGGTCCTCACTTAAACATCCCAATTCATGTAACTCTTTAAATGCTCATTGGTTAAAAGCTTTCAACTATTTTTGTGCTCTTCAGTGTTCTCTCCCTAACTAGAAAAATGACAATACAGATCTGATTGTATACAGTGCATGACATTGTCAACTTTGAAGTTGTAAGGGTGCCACTATTTACTTGCCTTGGGCTTCAACTGTAGGAAGAAAAGTTTACATTTGAATGTCAGGCTCAAACTTAAAAAATCTTAAATACATCTAAGATGAGTGTTCCAGTTTCCATGGGATACTGAGTTTGGTTCTTTGTAGCACCTCTGTAGTAATGAAGTAATGGAACTTTCCGGCTTATGAAAATCACAATTTGTAGGCTTAGTCAGATAGAACTGTCAACTGTTCCTTGTGTACAGAGACTGATGATTAAAAAGAGCCCCTATAACCCACTGGGCCTTAGCTCTGCAGCACAAGGGTTAGAATGTAACTGACAATCAGATGACAGGAATGTTGGAAATCAGTCATAGGAGAGCCGAATTCGTAGTCTTAGCCGAGAGCCCAAACACAGTGGCCATAAAATTCCCAATTGTCAGGAGTTGAATAATGAGCTCCTAAGTGCCCTGTAGATCAGATTCCCTTAAGGCCAAGCACAGTTCTTGTCTCGAGATACAGTACTTAGCAGTTAAGACTGTGCTACAAATTGAGGTCCATGGATCCAGCTAGGTGATCAGATATTACAGTTCTTCACTCATATTCAAGCATAAAGATAGTTTTCATCAACAGGTAAAAACAGCTTTACAAGAGATATACAATTAATTTAACACACAGCTCTTACAGTTTTCTCCACTGCAGTACGCAAGGACAACCTGCACCTAAACTGCTGTACTGACCCTTTCAAGTGGTAAGGAAATGAGAAACTGAATATAAAACTCCACAATGGGCTGACAAAGGGACCTGACTAGCCTCATGGTACACAATTAAAACATTCTGACAACAACCAGCAGCTGCTAGACAATTCTACCAACAAATTAAAAATGGAGGAAGTGGGAGAGGGAGGTTTCCTTACCTGTGTGTCCAGCTAACTCACGGCTCACACGAACATTTCCCTCACGTGTTTTCAGGTTGTAAATTGAACAAATGTTATCCAGTCCTCCACAAGCTACATAGTTTCCAGAGGGAGCATACGCACAGGTCATCACCCAGGAAGAGCGCAGGGGGATGGCGTGGACCTGAAGGGCAGAGGGGGAGATTCAAGCAGCCGTTATGAGGGGGTCTGTGTAAACACACGGTATGCTCTTAAAAGTCAGCTAACCTATTCAAGCAACCATCTTTAAAAAAACAGCATTATGTCAGAAATTTCACACACATAAGGGACAATTTGTGACGTGCTCCGTGGACACCAACAGCACAGGTCACTAATCACTGGTATCCACCAGAGAGTACGCAGCATTTTCCTCGTCAAGATAACCATAAGGGGCAGCATACATTGCAACCAACAGGAAACAGTTCCCAAAGCTCTTTTCCCCATAACCCTCTCAAGGGGTTTAGCCAGACTCCACCCACTTTGCGAACTATTTCATCCAATTCAGGATTGTGGGGGACGCTGGAGCTGATCCCAGCAGGCAACAGGCCCAGGGCAGGAGGCCAGTATATCAGGGCACACGCTCACAGCAGGGCCAGTTTTCACAGAAGTCAAGTATCTCTTTGGACTGTGGGAGGAAGCTGGAGCCCTAGGAGGGCAGTCTAAGAAGAGGTGTGTGGTCTAGGAGGAAACCCACACAAACAGAGAGAGAACATACAAACCCCACGATGACTGCACCCCAGGTCCGGAACTGAACCCCGGGCCCCAGGGCTGTGAGGCAGCAATGCTAAACACTGCGCCACTGTGCTGCCTTCCACCTGACTCAACCAAAGTGGCAGGTCCCCACCAAGGATAAAATGCACAGACCATGTGACGTGTGGTCACCACCTGCACCCACCCAGGCGCCATTTCACACTCGTCCTGCTTCACCCTCTTCCACACACTCAACAGCCTCTGCACATCAAGTTGCGAATGACCCATGCTGCAGTCATTTTTTAATCGCTGAACAGTAAAGTGTAATGTACAATACAGTATTTTAAAATTCATTAGAGTAATCCTCGCTCCCATGTTCAATTTAGTGTGTTTAACCTTGTGCTATACTTGATGTTCAATTACTTTAATCATAGGGTCGTAAAATTCCTTTTAATTGAGAAAAATACTTCTACTTACCAACACCATGAACCTTGGTTTATGCAAGTACTAAGAAAGGGTTACTTCCGACTTGCGTAAAATTTGAGTTACATAAGAGCTTGTGGAACGGACCCCTTACATCAGTCAGGGAATGGGTGTATACCCATTGCCCCATGGTGCAGTTTTCACAACAGCTTGATCCACGTGATGAATATTAAATTAAAGTACTCCACAGCTTTCCATACTTGACAATGTGCTTCCTTCTCCTAGTACAGTTCACTGACCACAGCAGTAAATAAGTATTATTGGTGCTATAAGACTAAAAATAGCCAATTTCAAGGCTAAGAGATTTGTTTAGCAAAGACAATTTGATATGCATAAACAAATTCAACTGTTAATATTTTTTGTGCAAACATTACATAAACAGACTTCCAGAGAAAAATACCTTGAATGAAAAGCGCTTCATTCTAAAAAGCCCGACAATACTTGTTGGTCTTACCTTGTTTGTGGTATAGCTGTCCCAAATGATGAGTTTACCATCCTGGGAGGCACTCACTAACAGCCTACACAAAAATAAATAATGGAAATAATGTTTTGTGGCTCTGCGAGATGAGAACAGACAATGCATATTTAATTCTTATTAAAATAAATACAATAGAGTCACAATTATCTGACATTCCGTTTTATCCGACATAGCCCATCACCATAGTGTACAGTACAGTATATATTGTATATATAACGTTTTGCCCAATCCAATGCTGCTCTGTCTGTCCATGTGTCACGTGCTTCGCTTGCTGATGTCGAGCTCGTATTGATTATTTTTCCTATTGTATTTTCGAAGCGGCACTAGTAACTAACTTACGTTGAGCAGCAAGAGGAGGCAACTGCTGCTGATGTCACGTTAATAAGACGCTGGCGAGACCTAGTGCACTTCTCTTCCTTGCAGCAAGTTTTTTTAAAATAACAATAGTTCTATCCCCTTTTTTGTATTATAGTAGATTAATAAACCAAATTTCATACTTAAAACTGCGCTTGCATTAATCTATGATTTGTCTACTCAGTTTCCACATTATCCGACAATTTCAATTATCCGACATACTGTCGGCCCCATTGAGGCCAGATAATCGCGACTCTACTGTAAATGCCCTTTTATGCACTAAAATTATATTTCACAATCAACCACATTTTTGAAACCACTATTGAATCAAAGCATTGGTATAATATACTTGTGAAACTGTCACACCTTTGAAGAGAAAAGACCCTCATACTCATTAGTGATAGCAACACATAGGGCTTTCCAATCCCAAAAAAGTAAAACATACATGGCTTAATTACCATTATTAGAACCATCATGCACTCAATGTCTAATGATTACTCTTCAGACAGAAACCATTTTTTATGTATTATAACCATACAGTTTAAGAGTTCCAATAATGACAATACTTTGAGAAAATGACTTAAGTGCATCACTTGTGCACAGCATCAGAGCAGCTGAGGTAACAGCTCCTGACCATTCTACCTGCATGCACACCACAGAGGTAGTACAGGAATGCACTATACTTGTCACATCAGCTGCTGTTTTGAATAACCCCCCTATTTTGAATACAGGCAAATCTTCCCTAGTGGGGAAAAACCCTTCCTTGGATAAGCAGGGTGATACAGCCTTTTTATTAGAAGAACTGCAGTAAAGGCTGAAATACAGACACTGGTGCGGTCACCAAAATTTGTTTCTCTGCCTCTTCATGTACCTAAATGTCCACATGACTAACAGCTCCCAGGGAAATAAAGGGAAGCATCACTATTCCCTTTTGCAGGGATATAACAGACAAAAGTTACCAACTTTGTATCAAAATGTTAATGTAATGTTCATTTTCACACACAATTATGGAAAAGGTAAGAGTAATACCTAGACATTGGCAAATGTAAGCCATACGCCGTTTTTGTTTTCAGAATTCAGTTCAACAAACCCTTCCCCTCAATCATCCAATGAACAAGCACAAGCAAAACAACTCAAGAGTTGGATTTGCTTCAGAAATTCTACTAGGACAAAATCAGGGAGGCACAAAGCAACAACTGAATATCAGAAGTGAAGTTACAGCAGGGATGCTTAGAGTGGATCGGCATCTTAAATCTTAAAACAAAGTGGTAAAAAGCCACCAAGAGAATTTAGTCATCTGAAAGATTCCTTTCTCTCTTAATCTCACCAGTGAAACAATGTGTATATTTCCACAAAATAAGACCGCATTTGCACACCTCCACCCCTTATTCTCAGTAAGATGCTTAACAGGGGATTGTCCAGTATTACCTTGCTTACCAAACACACTTGGTATTAAAGCAACAATGGAATTAGCTACCTCACTTCCATTGGATTAACTGTACTCATTTTAATTGCATTTACTAATTAAAACTGCACTGTGATTCTAGTTGCAATTTCTAAACACCCGTCTCAAGACTTTTGTTTAGATCATTTCTCAATCATAGCAGTTCTCGGGTTTTCACTGGAGCACAAACTCATGCCTTAATTATTTTATAATGGTATCTATAAAATGTTAAATACAAATATCCTGTTGTACAAGATGGCGATGACCTGTCAGAACCAACAACCCACACATTAACAACTTAAAATGTACCGAGTCTCAGGTACACTAATGAATTTCAACCATGTCAGAGGAAAGCAATATCATTCAGAACTTGAATAGCAATATTTAACAGAATAATAACAGAATAGCACTGACATTATTATTGCACATGAATACCAAAGCTATAGAAATTCTAAGAGTTTAGTAATTTAGTTTAGTAACTAATCTAACTCTTGGCATCTTAAGACAGAATAAAGAAATTCAGCATTCAGCACAGTGTGCCTTTCCACCAGCAAGACTCCCAGACCATACCAATTTAAATAAGACATTTTTGGGACCCACTCTATATGGAACAGTTTTGACTCATCTGAAATTTAAAAAACATTTCATGTTCTTTGTGGGCAAGAAACTGAAATTTGACCAGCTGTGACAATTACCTTTTGCCTTTGCCCAACGTTATTTATAATCCTGATAAAAGCCTGTATATGCAACTTTGTATTGTATGAATGTATCATTAAACAAAAAATGTGGATTTAAAGACTCTTACATGAATTGGGACCTTCCATTACAGGATCATTTACAATTACCAATTGATAATGCTAAAACCCAATACATTGAGACTCAGTGACTTCTTGAAAGTTAACTGAATTAGCCAACACCCTGGATTCTGCCATTTGTGATCCTGTGGTCCAAATGGTACTGGTGGGGCAAATCTTGCTTGGAGAGGCTAGTCTGCTAATCTTGGCTCACCAACTGCAGCCTTCTCAATTGTTCTGCTAGCATCTCTATAGCAGACGTGTCTCAGACTCGTTGTGCACTTCTTTAGGTTATTAGAGCAGAAAAAAAATCTAAACCCCATTAAGTACACCACCAAATCTGGGTTACAAAAAGTTCACCATCCTATCCTACAAAAGACTTGATTTCCCCAAACAGGTATGCAGACACTAGTTCAGCAATGCCATGGACAGGGTTGCGATTCTCAATGATTGTAGCAGTGAACCATGCAATGGGCTCCTGGGGGCTCACAGCAATGTCAATGTAGGGCATCGCCCTTCCTTCAATTAGCACAACCACCAGAAACCACTGTAAAACCTCATGTTTAATTAAACGAGTGGACAATTTGGAGATGCCTGTTAGTCCTTCCTCATTTTACACAGGTACAGGAGTCGTGTGCTGAGAACAGAGGCAACTGGAAACAGCAAAATGGGTAGTAGCTATGTTAAAAAACTGACAATCTGAATGTACAATTAAAAACTTACCTAGAATCAGTGCCCCAGTGCATGGCATAAATTTTAGCCAGATGACCCCTCAGTGTTCGTCTAGTGCGCATTTGAATTCGGCCAACAGGATCAATGTTAGCTGTAATCTATAAGAAAAAAAGAACATTTCACTGCCACTCAAGCACAATCTAAAGTTTCCAAAGGGAATTTTTTTTTGCGTTTGCAAAAAAGATTCAACCATCTTGTATGTTGTTATCCAGATCCAGATTTTAACAAACAAACTGGGCTAATAATGTTGTGAAGACAATACTGAAGTTCTAGCTGTAAAAATAGACTAAAGTGAACCGATATGGAGCGTTAATTTCAAATTGAAAACAGAAAGCATTGTAATCGTACCCTTCACAATTACATAAAGTAACATAAAAATGGTATCAAACACCCGATCCTCACCATTCACAACAGACCAGGAAACACAACTGGCATGTGAAAAGACCATAATGCTCACCCATGAGAACACAGCACAGGTGAAAGGTCAATGATCATTTTGACTGACCCGTAACCCCCGTGGGGGGTTCTAAATATTCCTAGACACATCCTAAGTTCCTCTGTAAGCACTTTCAGAATCAAATTTTAACTTCATATTTTTTAAGAAAAGGAATCCAGATATCACTTGCAACTGGTTATTTTACCAAATGCACCAACATGATAATCCCATAAGGGTAGTTACAATAAAGGTTCCTTGATTACTGAACTTTCAGAATTAACTATTCTAATATGATCGTTGTTAGTACTTGGTTGTAAATTCACATTAAATAAAATAAATCTAATAACTACTAGTGATTTGTGTTTGAATAATTTTCTGTAATTTTAGTTGTAACTTAAAAAATGACACTATACGTTTACATCAAGTAACAGCTGCAAAACAGACATTTAACCTCGCACCGATGACCACATCATGAACGAACCACTAAAGAGAGGTATATAATGTAGCCTGTCTGAAAAGCCTTCCTGACAGCACAGTGTGTGAGATCTACCACTCCACGTTCTGTGCACTAAAGATGTGCAATATCTGCTGAACTCCATCAGATGACAAGACACATAGTACATTTTTAGTAACTTGCCACGTTGCCATTTGCAGTTTACAATTTTCATGTAATTCACAGATCATACCCTTCCCTTATAAAAAAAAACTTTTACAGGTGTCAAATTCATCTATCACAACTTGATAAGTGCACAGCCACATATATGCAATCACTTTTTACCTCAGCTGTAATAAGAATGAACATAACAAGAATGCAAGATGGTAACCTGCAACGGGATTCATTGGCCAGACCTGACCTTACTTAATCCTCCCTTCCAGACATATCTGCTCAAAGACTCTAACAGCCAACAGCAGGCTCTAGGTTACATTTCTAACACTGACTTAAAAGGGGGATAATCTTGGTGGGATATAGACAGAAGTCTCCTTACCTGCGACAAAGTGGCATCTGCGCAAGCTTTCCTGGCATCCTGCAAGGAAAAGAAGAGCACTGTGTCAATTCCGAGTTAAAAAAAACACTTACAAATTCACAGCCAGGTCATAGCAGATGTCGGGTTCATTGGTAGGTATGGGTTAGTAACAATGCTCCCTACTCAAAATGAAAACTAAGCACAAAAATCTAAAACCTAACTACCAATTCTACATGATTGAAGTTAAGTTGGATATATTGGACATTAATGATCATCATGGCAAAGCACAGATAGATCTTAGTACTGCACATTGTAGATGGAAAGATTACTCATCAGGATTTGTTTACCAATTTTTAAAGCACATCTTGATTTCGGCTTCCTTTGGCTTTCATTCTTAAAACATCTACCATATAAAAAAGAAACTAATATAAACCTCTGTCTTTGTTTGGCTAACACAGGGCAGGTCTCATCCTGCTTGGCTTTTTTCCAGCTGCAAATACACAGCAGGACCTGCATAAAATCTCCACTCCACTTTATTTTGTTTAGATTAACTTTCCAATTCTAACGTTTTTGAATAAATCTGCTCATGGAAATCTGAACAGAAGAAAAATCGTGAACTTTCGTTCACTCCCATTAATCTGGTGAAGTTTGGGTTCCACTGGCACAGAATAATGTTGGAGGAAATCAGAAATGAAATACACTCCTTGACTTTTCTGCAGTCAAGAGCTAAGGTTTTGCAAAGCATACAAGGAAATGACGTCCTGCCGTGACTAACACCGTTATTTTTTATCAATGTTATTTTTTATAGGTCAAAATTTTCTGCAACTGGCTTGATGAGCATCTATCACCAGAATGGGCATTGCACTTCTGTGCTTTGGGATCCCAACAGAGTATTAATAAGAGTATCTGGTGTGGTGTCAATGGGGGAGGCTTTTTTGTTAAACATACAGACAGATGTTCTAAATAAGTAAAATGTTAAAGCCATAAATTTAGTAGTCAAGCAACAAGTGGTAAAAAAACAGTTTAGGCAAAGACAAATTTGTGTATCCAACCTGGACATTTCGTAAACAATGGAAATCATAAATCTGAGCACCCCACCCAGCCCGCAGTAAAAAGAAACCTTGGAAACTGTTTGACATTAAGCCGTTTCAATTTGTGCTTGTGCCCGTCGGGCTGTAACGCAATACAAACACCACGTATACAATTTCCCCAAAGCCGGAATACATTTAATTGAAATGACCATGAAAAGCAAGTTAAAATCTCAAAAAAGTGAACCGATGAGACAAGAAAAAAGGAATACAGTATTGTTAAAATGATTATCTTTATGTTCTTAACATGAAAGAAGAAATCAAGCCCAGTCAGTCCGATACACTTATAGGGCAAATGTTAAATAGGGTTAACTAAGAAAAGAGGGTCGGGTGTTATTTTAAAACAAATCGCAGGTCAGGGACCATGTAATACTAACTACACAAAAGCAGGTACAATTAACTGACAACCTTTTTCCAAAACAAACAAGTCATCTTCTAATCCTGTCCTATGTGACATTATTCAACCCCCCGTGTATTACACAAAGCCTTGCCAGACATGACAACTAGCACATGGGCATGGGAGGGGCGACTCCCAATCCGACACTCAAGTAGCGAGGAAGGATGCACTAGTGACCTTTCCTAGAACTAGGTTCTCTTGAGGTCAAACCTCCCTTTTGAGTTTTTGTTTCAATATTTCATCATGGAGAAATACATGATCACTCTTACCAAATGGCTAATACACATACAGTCTTTATATAGCCTGTGATTTGTTTAATGCCAATGTCACTCATGGACAACTAGAACATTACTTACAATTTACCTCTAAAATAAAGAACTACAACCTATTTTTAAATAGGTTTTAAAAATTTGTAAAAGATTTTTTGATAAAGAACTTTCGAGAAGCTCGGGAACCTTTTTTTCTGCTTTGAATCTGCTCCAAAACTGTTAAGATAGCTGAAGTATCTAACGCTTATAGCTGAGGTATTATAACAGAGATAACCGAAGTGACATTTGCCAGAAACAGAAGAGAACCTTGAGTTTAAAAAAAGGCAGATTGTGTAGATCTGTTTGCATTTCTGTACATGCATTAGAAGTATTTTACCTGAGAAGGATTGGGCTTTAAAAAAATGTCCTTTGCATATCCACATGGCAATTTGAAACAAAACAACAAAATTGACCACTGGCGATTGCCAGAAAGAGACAATCTGGGAGTGCTGGAGACAATCTAGGCTGTGCTGACCCAGCTGCACAACAGGATGAATAGTAGCACTTGGGTGACACACAGGCAGCTGGGCAGTCTTTGCTAACCTACTGTACAAAATCCAATGCGGGGAACTGGTAAATAACATTTTAAAACAACGCTTCTGATGGATTTCATCACAGGACCGAAAGGTTTCAAAAGCCTGCACAATCTGACTGAAGTGTGAAGTAAAACTAACGTGTAAAATCAACCAAAAGTGTTTGTGATAAGTCCTGCTAAAAGAAACCTAAATGCATGTTGGTGCCCCATACTGATGGAGATTCATCGGACACTGCCGATGCCGTAACTCAATTCATCAGCAGCTCATCATGAATGAGCGCACTTTCCTTTACACGTTCTTTCTGTTAACAAAACCTTCACCAATAGTACGAAACATGTTATTCTTTGTGTTGAGGTGTGGAGTGGAGAAGCAGATAAATGCCCCGTTAGTGCAAGCACGTTAATATGAGCATACCCAATAATTCTGAAAGACTGGCAACTGTTCCAAGACTCAAGAGAAAAAAACTAAGTAAAAAAATAAAAAAATCAGCTTGAGTCCTACAAAAGGAAAGAAACTTTAATGTTACTTACAATACTTCAAAATAAAGCCGTTTTCCATACCCTTCACCACCCACCACTATGTAATTCCTTCATGTTTTACTTGCTCAACTGTTTAAAAGTGACTTGTAACAACTGTATAAATAGCTTTCATGAATAAATGTAACTTTATTGAGACATTTCTCCACCCGTTTTACATTCTTTCTTATAGGGAATTCAATTAAAATTTGAATTTGAGGAAGACATCCCCATGTAAATCAAGAACTATCTGTACTTTACTGATGATTAAGAATAAGAAACGTTCCCATCATAACCAAATATTGTTTAGCTTCCAATGCTCTCCTATATTTTAGGAACAAAGGGAACAATCAGACCTTATTCTGAAAGGAGAAAGCTAGTGGTATGGTCAGCACCCAGCTGTCACTGCTACACCACTGGGTAAAAGTCTCACTTAGGTCATAGAGAAAGCAGTGTGGTTTATACAGGCAAGAGAAATGCTCTGCCACTGCACAGAATCCTTTACAAACACCTACAGAAGGGAGCCCTGAACTGCCCAGCCCTTAAGAGGCTTTCATAGAAGAGACGCCCAGCTACAAGCTTGGACTGTAGCTGCTTGTGCAAATCCAGGCCCACTACAAGAAGCTCAGGGTCTGCACAGTGACATGGCCACAGACACAATAACCGGACATCAAGATGATGGAAGAAAAAGAACTGATGCAGCGGCACACCCAGGAGCACAAGGCCTCGGAGTATTTGTACAGAGAAACGGGGCTGCGCTGGACGTACTCTGATCTGGTTCTTGAGCTGCTCAGCCTCCTGGCGTAGCTGGTCGAGTTCGCTCATTTTCCTCTCCTAAACGGTGCACTTCACTCCTGCCGCCGGGACACTCACAGATCTGGAAGGGAGAGAAGACGGCTTCATGCATTAGTCAGCAAAGGCACATTCCCAATAAACTTCAGCGCCATTACTGCGCAACAACAAAACGCACAATCTCATCCTTTAACTAAATATATACCCCAATAACTTGTGAAGCAGAAGTATTACTAATTGAGTACTGTTCTATGCTAAGCATTAGTGGTAAATGTTAGCTGCAATAGGCTAGTTAAGCTATTTTTGATCAAATTTAGCCTCCCGCTGCCTGATAAAAGCAGTACAAAATGCAAGGTGACAACTGTTCTAATGTTAACGGTGGCTAAAATTCAATCAAATCAACTTGGAACAAAATTGGTGCCATCAGAAAGTCAAAATCCTTTTCAGCACAGGTCTATCTGTTCCATCACTGTAATAACACAAATACACCTTCTCAGCATCGTGCATTTTAATAGTTCACTAGGGGTTCAATAAAAGGAAACATTTTCCGCCAAAACAATTCTTTGTAGTGGTCAAAGTAATCTGTCTTTCTGCATTACAATTACTCTATAGGGCTCAATCTCATTTTAGTCTACAATGAACACTGCGAATCAAAGCAGCAATTTCTGAAAACCAGATTCAATTAAGCATCACTTATTTGAATAGACAGTTAAGTGTGCAGTAGAGAAAGTGCAGTGTCAGTTTTGTTTCTGCGCAAAAAGGAATTGCTCCATTTCTGGCCCAAACAAACAAATATTTCAGATCCCCGAGACAGCGGGAGGTGACAGAAACTTGCTCAAACAAAATGAATTACTTTCATTTCATAAATCATCCATGTCGGCTTGATACTACAACCATCCAGCTGCAACTAGACATCAAGGTTATCCAATAAAGTTCCCACTTTAGACATTGGCAAATATAAACCAGGAGTGAACTAGAAAAGACACGATCTTCTTTTTCATAATTGATATAACATATATGAAGCAAACTGATTTTCACAAATATCTAACAACACTCAGTCCTTGTGTGTATCCCTTTAGGAAACCCAAGATGTGAGCTGGTGTATCTGTGCTACAGTTACCTAGCAACCAACTACAGTTGCTGTTCTTGTGCTAATCAACATTTCTTTCCCTTAATCTTGATCTTTATCACAGTAGTAAACACACCAAAATGCCCTGTTGCATTGCAAACCATAGCTGGTAAACTACTAGTTCACAGGTTACTAAATGACTGTAAAAACAAATGGTATGTAATTTAATTCCATTCAAGTAAAACTATATCCCAAAACTAAACGGGCAGTTCAGTAACAGTCCTAAAAACAGTTAAATTCTCAATAAACCGCAGATGGAACGATGTAGGCTAAAAAAAAAGTGCAGTACCTTTCCCCCCAGGTGCTATGAGAAGGCTTGCTGTTGGCCAGAAGGGCTGCAGGTTGCAGAAAAGCTCACCTGAACTGGAGGTTCTGGTGTTTTGCTCACTACCAAGCCAGCCCCTCACCTGCAGCCTCTTGGGCCAATGTCACCCATAATCCCGGGACAGAGTTGAATCAGCTCCTCGAGCCAAATCCGGTTAAGACAAAACCTGCTGATGATCCCGAAGCATCGGCTATCCTTCTGACCCTAATCCTCTGGTCCACTCTCTCTTAACCCCATCACTTTCACTCACCCTAAAAAAAAATCCTGTCATGAGCAGGTCGTCAAAAACATTTAAATGGAAAGAAACGCACTGTATCTTTATGGCAAGTTCTTATAATCTTCACAAGTCTACACAAGTACAACAGCACTGCCATGCTGTCCTTCCAACTGTAAGGGCTAATTCAGATCCCAGTGCTCTGTTGTGTGCATGCCCACAGTTCTTAAATGCTTAATATGCAAGTTTAACCCAACTTTCACACCTCTTGAAATAATTTAGTTGACCATGTAGAAGGCCAAATGTAGAAAGCAGCATTCATATTTTTAGACTGCCCTTCTGGTAACCACTTAAAGGGATTCCACAACAAGTAAGGCAGTCTTGACATATGCAGTTCTAATGCCAGAAGACCCTAAAAATATAATAACTTGAAAAACAGAAAACTAACCAATGAAGTTGTTTACTTCTGTTTCACAGAACACGCAGGTCTGATCATTTATCATGATACGAAACATCACTTTGCACCATCTTCTATTAGCCCAGATCTTTGTACAAACAATCACCCTCCCCTTCAGGCACCACCCTGTATAAACAGTGAAGCTGACTTGTATCACACTCCACTTTATCTTGCAATGTTTGGAAAGAAACTTTTTTAGAAAAGACGTTATGGTCTGTAGGAGTCTGGAACAAGCTTCCCAGCCAAGGCTAAAGCCAATACCTTGACTTCTTTCAAGCAAGGGTCAGGTGAGATTTTCTGATCAATTTGCTAATAACTATCAAACAGGCGAGATGAGCCATGTGGCCTCCTCTCATTTGCAACTTCTTATAAAACTAATATAAAATGGAGACAAATTACCCAGAGGCAGTGACAACCCATGCCTCTGCCAGCCTGTCACACTACCACTTTCATCTGAATCACAAAGAGAACAAATAGGCTGTTCTCATAACAGTGGCTGCTATTATAAACAGATTTGATGCTTGAGCCAAAATTCAATATCCTTGCCTTGACAAACTTTTAGTCCACAAAGAATAAGACTATGCATAAGCAACAGAGAACACCAGTCCCGAAATTTCAAAGATAAAGGCTTTCTTCCAATATCTAGTATACTTTGTTGACTTGTAAAAGCAGGAGAATAGCTACTGAAGCATGCACACTACTCATTAAATTGTCTGCTGAAGATATACCTATACAGTTTGAATTTCTCCTAAAATTAACGACCAGCCCAGTACCAGTCTTTGAAATCCGTTCTTCATTACATGTAAATTTAAATCCTTTGTCCACATTCCAGAAATGTCCTAGGACGTTCGTAACACTTTCCCTTTCAGAAAGCTGACAAGATGCCCGTCAATAATTGCTATACTATTGTTTTAGGTTCTGCACAGATGATAGTCATCATGAAATTGCATAAAGCACAATGCTTAAAAGGAGCTCATCCTTAGCTGTAGTTTGCACAGAGCCCTTACCTTACTTTCAATTCGTTCCTGTGCCTTCCTTGACTGAAAACCTTAACAAGTTCACTAGCACAACACCTAACCACCTTTTTCGCTGAACTCTGCCAACTGATTGGCCAACACCGGTAACTGGGTCTATCTAGGCAGTGATCCCAAATCCCATAATCTTGTCGACAGAAATATGTCATAGTAATGTAGTTAATTCGCCTTCTCCCTCTCTGCATGCTTACTCCTAACTGAAGGGTGCCGTGCTGTCAGGATCACTTAGCGTTCTCCTTGCAACCTGGATGACCTGGACACTGCCTTAAGCACAACTCCGGTCTCGTGTACAGAGGCAATTAAAACAAAGCCACCCAGAATTTAAGCGGTGGGGGCAAGCGGTGGGCATCCATTAACAGGTCCAGAAAAACCAACAAACAGTATCCTTAAAAAAAAAAAAACAATGTTAAACTACAGAAGAGAATTTTAGGAGACTGAAAATGTCCCTGTTCAAGATTATTAGATTTGTTTTCCTTCTGCACGCTCACCCACAGCACCAAACCACATTCATAGCAATTCAGACTACTTATGTACAACCTACTTGATAGTCAGTCTATTTTTAGATAGGCAGCTCATGGCACACAGGCAATAGAAGGGAAGCAGACTTCAGATTTTCCAGTAACTCCCTATCATATCTGCCATCTTAGGTACAATACTATGAGAAAGGATGAGGAAGTGAAATTCAATTCTACTGAAACCATCAATGGAGACCACACCAGATCATTTTTAGTTTTTTTTTTTGTTTTCTGGCTTCTGGCACTGACAGCAACGGATTTCTTCCATTCCAGAAAAAGACTAGTTTTGAGGGACCCTCCCTTGCTAGATAAAGGAACTGCCAATTCATCTCCTGACCACATCCCCCCTCTCAAACAACAAACATACGAAATATAGGGTGGCTAGAAAGTATTGAAATAACCTTTAAAAAAATATCTGCAGCTGTAAATCCATTTCACCTGAAAATCACAGGGTGTCAATTGGCTCCTAGTGTCACTGAATGTCAGTAGTTTCTACTAGACAATTTCCTGCCTGGAAGTTTAATAAGTGTTTTATTGTATGCATTAATAACTATGCTCAACCATAACATAAAATGCAATTAAATCCAAAATTCTGTACCACTTCCTGTTTGAAGTTTTCCCAATATCCACTCACATGCCCATGATGCCAGTACATACCACTATTTTCAAGTAAAATGGTTGCTGTTACACAGACATTCCCTGAGCAGTGAGTGTACAACTATACAACCACACCCTGCGCAATATTATTTGTACTTTCAAGCACTGCACTTCCTGGGCACATTACGATATAACAGTTACACAAAAACGTAAAACATCCAGTTCAAACACAAGCTTAGGAAAACATTTCAATAAATGATTGAAAAAGATGCTTTCAAGCTAGCCTTTCTGACAAACTGGAATGGAGATCCAGCAGAAAAGTGTAACAGATAAATTCTTCCTCTCAACTTTAGTCAGGTTGAGCAATGTCTAGGACTTCAGCACTACTACATCTCAAGGGTATATCAGTTCAGTATTATAAAGGCAAAAAAGTGCATTATAAACAGAACATAACATTTTACTGCCAGTTCAATATTTGGCAATCAGTTGTCTATATCCTACCATTTGTCTTCAGCTTTTGGAAAGGGCTGAGTAGTTTTATTTCACTATCAATGCTGTTTAAGTAAAATATCCAAAATTACATTTTTTGGAAAAATGTTAAAAGGTTGCTTGAGATTAATGCAACTCCTCATCTAACTGAAAGCTGTCTAAAGCATGCTCACCGATAGTGAACTGCCTTTACTGGAAGTTACAAATGAGGAACACATTGTTTTGCATACTGACATTGCAAAGAAGAATGGAACATGAAACATTCAAAGGAGAAATCACTTCTGGTGAAAACGGTTAATACATTTCCTCCAGCTATTTCTACATTTACTGGAAAACAGAACCCCATCTCCCCCCAGAACCATCCCCTTCTAAATGGTAGAAACTGCATTTTCTGAACTACTTAGAATTAACCTGAGTAACTCATTCATAAGGTTCTCCCTTATGACAACTTTACAGGGAATCAATTTGATCAAAATGTTTAAAATATCAAAAGGCACGCCTGTAAATTCAGTTTTTAATCAAAGTGCATGCTCCAAAAAACAAAATCAAACCAAGAGGCTTTGCAAAGTAGCAATCTGTTGTGTAGCCTACATCCATTAATACACCAATCAGATGGAGAAATTAGCAAAATATGCAAAGCATGCCAATGGCCTGCAGAACCACGAACATCCTGGAACCCATTCCCATGATTTTCCCGAATAGTTTAATATTAGAAACCTGCACAAATATTTTTCAGGAGGGACCAGCACCCAGGGAGGTAAGCATTGCAGTGCTCTGTGCTGGGAATACAGACACTCTCATCACACAATAAAGAAGTGCAAGGTGTACCTCAACACAGCAATAGGACATTGAGATATTAACAAGAACCAAAGAAGATTGGAGATCTGGCTGGGTCACAGGACAGAGAGAGATTACACTAATGAGACTGAACTAGTAAAGGACATTCAGGAGGAGAGCTGCTAATTAACTCCCACTGAAGAAGGGAAAAGGGTTTGGTAACCTTTGAAGGAATTACTCTGCAAAAACTGTGTAACAAACTGAATCTAAGCCACGTCTCCCTGAGTTACCTCAATATTGACTGCCACTAAGTCAGTCCCTACAGTTATAATGGTTACAGTTATACCAGCACAACTATTTCTCCGATCATCACCAGAATTAACTGGGAAGGGGATTCCTTGCCTTCCATGTCAATAGAAAGAAGGAACATTCAAAAGAGAAATGTACTTTGCAAAACGGGATTTCTAAATGTTAATCTACAACATTTTTCGAGTCGTATACCAATACCACACTACCGTTTCTGTTTAGGCTGGGCCTTCCAGATTGTTTAAACACCCCATATGAGAAGTACAGCACTTTCGCTATCCTACAGATTAAACATCCCTAATTTCTGTCAACGTGCATGAAAGGACACTGTTTATTGCTAGAAAAAAACTAAAATAAAACTGCATCTGCTACAAAAAAGGTGGGTGGGTGGCTAACTGGGGGAGACAGTGACCAATGTTTGAAATGCTGCTTTCTCCCATACTGAGACATTTATAAATCATGAAGCCCCGATTCTGGAGAGAACTTAATAATTAAAGGCCCCCTTCCTCACTTCCAGCTGCCCGTCATACGCAGTGGATTGCTGCTGTATTTTAACTCATTCGTGTCCATGAAGCTCACCTCCGTCGCCAAAGCACTCTTTAGTCTGAGGTCGCAGCCCAGAACATTATTCGGTTATAACTTGCAATGACATTCAGAACATTTCTTGAGACCTAATTCACTTTCCCATAAATCAAGGC